ATATTCATTAAAATAACATCACTGCACATATTAGATTGATATTTTCTAGGATTTGAGTTTTAGATCATCATATTTACAGTTGTTCTAGTTGATGTGAGGCAAAATATGATCAGTTATCTTTGGGAATTTCCATTTTAGGTGGCAAAAATACATTTGTGGGAAGTCACATAACAAAATCAAGATACCTGTAAGTTGAGGTACATTTTCTTTAAAGTGTTATCAATATTTGAAGAGCACATTCATTGGCAGGGACAATAAATATCACTTATGAATGTAAGAGTTAATATTTTAAATATAATTTTCCCAGCTGTTTTGACATTGTGATTAAGTCGCTGCATTTTATCCTGATTAAGCAAGTGGCATTTATATTAGAAAACTGGAAAAAAATGTCAATATGGGGCTGAAAGATGAACTCGTTGACTTTGGCATGCATGGTAAGAGCTCCAAAGACAGTACACTAACTCTCACATGTCCAAATGGGGGACAGCAGTGTAAGATTATCTATTTAAATACTTAAATCTCCACTGGTGAAAACACAAGAGTGAGAAACTTTGACAAAGGTCATGTTCTGCTGATCCTGCCAGAAAAAGTTCAATGTATGTTTTCAGATTAATTTCCTTCAATGAACTATTTCTAAGAGGTTAACTATGAGAAGTCAAAAAGCTCAATTATTTTAGAATGGACAACTTTTAGCTCAATTCCACTCAAGCAGAGTTATCAAAAGAAAGAGTACTTCAGGCAGTTCCTAACTGTTCAAAACCACGAACTCCGGAAGCCCCACCACAAAATTTGTTCAAAATAGTAATGGTTACTTTCTATATATTTATAGTGATCCATAGCTCTTAGTTTAAATTTTTTATTTTTGTGTGTCTATTTTTCCTGCATGTATGTAAGTGTACCATGTGTGTGCAATGTCCTTGGAGATAAGAAAAAGGTGTTGGATACCCTGGAACTGGAGTTAGAGATGGGTGTTAGCCACCATGTGGGTACTGGGAACTGAACCTGGGTCCTCTGTAAGAGCAGCCAGTGCTCTTAACCATGAAGCCATCCCTTCAGCTCATAAGTATTTTACTTTTAAATCATGTGTAGTATTTGTGTATAGGTATGTACACTTGAGTGTCGGTGCCTGGCAAGGCTAGAAGAGGGTATTCATTCCCTGAAACTGGGGTTACAGGTGGTTGTGAGCCATTCTAGGTGGGCGCTGGGAACCGAACTCCAGTCCTCTGCAAGAGCAACAAGCGCTCTTGGCTGATGAACTCCAGCACTGAGCCATGGTTCTTTATAATGAAATCCCTAAACTTGGAATGTTTTTAATTTGTCAGAAATGAATATGACAAATGCTTTAAATTAAAAGCAAAATACATTAGTATTTAATATGAGTAATAATGAAGAAAATTACTTTGGGTTAAAAATAATTGAATATTAGTTTATGTCAACATACTTTCCTTACAACTATGCTGTAATATGAAGAATTCACAAGCTCAGTATGGTGGCATACGCCTATAACTGACACTGGGGAAGCTGAGGCTTGAGGATTTTGAGTTTGATGCCATCTTGGGCTACATAGCAAATACCAGGTCAGCTGAGCTACACAGAAAGTCCATCTGAAAAAAAATTCCCAAAACAAAAACAACCAAACAAAACCTCACAGAGAAAAGCCACTAATTCAGAATAATCAATGGGGTAGTCTGCTTCCAGTTACTTGGAATTTTTATTTAAAAATTGAATTCAGGAGCTGGAAAGATGGCTCAGTGGTTATTAGGACTGGTTGCTCTTGCAGAGTAAGCCTCAGTTCCCAGCAACCACATGGCAGTTAACAAATATCCTTAACTCCAGTTCCAGTGGATCTGATGCCCTCTGTTGGCCTCTGTGGTCACTGCATGCATGTGGTACACATATACATGCAGGCAAAATACTCATACATATAAAACAAAACACAAACAAAAAACTCCTCCCCCTCAAAAATTAAAGAAACTCAACTCAGAGCTGGACATGGAGATTCATGTTTATGATCCCAGTACTCATATGGCTGAATCAGCAGGATGGAGAGTTCTGGGCCAGTCTGGGGTGTATAGAAAGCCTGCCTTAAAGAAACAAAGACAGCAACAACAACAAAACCAAGAAAAACAAATTCACTCCTTTCTTATTGTTTGCTTTTTCTTAGGCAGGGTTCTATAGTGTGGTACAGGATAGCTCCCTCTACCATCTGCATGGGATTATAGGCATGTGCCACCAATTCACCTTTCAAATGCTTTTGCCAGGTAGGCCGTGCTGTCTTAGAACTATGTATCCGAGGCTGGCCTCAAACTCATAGCATTCCTCCTGCCTCAGCCTCCTGAGTGCTGGGATTACAGGTGTGTACCACTATACCTGACTTCAACTAATGTATTTTTTTTCTTTTCTAGGGTTTTTAAAAAATACTTTAAAAAATTTTATTATTTTTATTTTATGTGTATGAGTATATTGGCTACATGTATGTGAATGCACCTGTGTCGTGCAATGCCGCAGAGGTCAGATGAGGGCTTCGGATTCCCCTGGAACTGGAGTTAAGGACGGTTTGTAGCAGCCATGTGGGTGCTGGGAATCGAACCCAGGTCCTCTGCAAGAGCAGTCAGTGCTCTTACCCACTGAGCCATCTCTCCAGCTTTTTTAGTTTTTTTGAGACAGATTTATTTCCCTGTAGCTCCAGCTGGTCTGGAACTATGTAGACCACCAGGCTGGCCTTGATTTCAGAAAGTTCCACCTGCCTCTGCTTCATGAGTGCTGGGATTTATATCCTTTTAAGTAAGAGGGTTTTTGTTTGTAATGAACTGAGGAGTTAATATCAAGATGCCTATTTTAAAGCTGGTTTTCCAAAAAATTGAAAATTTATTTTAATTATTTTTATATGTCTTAAAAAGGACAGCTAAAGAACACATACCTTTTTTTTAGGAGACTAAAGAAAAATGCTGTAGTCCAGCATTTTGCAAATTATATTTTCTAGGGTAACAGAGGTTTAGTATTTTTCTTTCAAAAAAGTACATCACACAAACAAGAGACTGATTTAATAGGAAGACTTTAAATTCTTTAGTACTTGGAATATTAGCAATCAAAAACCCAATCTAGGTACTCTGTTTTTTATTTTTATTTTTAGAATGTTGAGCTTAAATGCAGCTGATTTTTTCCTATTGTGATAATGTGGCGCCACTCTATTTACCTTGCAGTGAGAGGCACTGGCTGGCAGAGGATGCATGTGAACCGCAGCACATCAGAGATATCTTATTCAGGGTGTTGGAAACTCGAGTGTATACATATATAAAATTTTATCTAGCTGCATGCTTAAGATTGTACACTTTATGGTTATGTGTTACACCTCGAGTGAACTAGCCACTTTATGAAATTCCTAGCAATTATTTTACAGTGAACCATTTATATGATTTTATAAGTCAAGACATACAGGGGAAAACAAATTATCTGATGCGCCTAGCAAATGGACGGCTAATCACTTTCAGGTAAATTAACTATCTGAAGCTAAAATAAGGCTTTAATGATGAGATGTTACTAATATTCTATCAGAAATGGTGGCAGGAAGAACTCAATACATCAGTTTATTAGTGTTACATCAGCTTAAGCAACTGGATGGTCAGAACATCCTCAAATAAAGGACACCATCACATGTTTATTTGACATAAAATTACTCACGTGGTTTACTTTTGCTTCTTAAGGTTTGGTTTGGATTTTGTCATATTGCTTGGTCTTTCAAAGACTGAAGAAGAAAAGTTTGGTTTTGTTACTTAACTATTGTTTTTAGCGTGCTAAATAGCTGAAGTTATGATTGTGACTTCAAAACGATGCATTTTGTTTCCTATTTATTAGGGAAGAAAAAAAGGGTTGGTTTATGTAGGAAAGCATAAAAATCTGATTCAAACGTTTTTTAGCTTTCCTCAGAACTGTTAATTCTCATCACCTCCAAAAGCCTTGAGAGGATTAGCTGCATAGACCAATATTGTTCTATATTAGTCAGGATTAAACATATGATGTCACCTTGTTTCCTCCCCTCCTCAAGCTATAATTTTGAGGGAAAGGAAGACTTAGGGGTGCAAGTCTCAAAACATCGAGGCTTACATATCACTAACTGAAATACATGATTGACAACCTTACACTCCAAAACTGTCTGAAATGGGTCAAATACCTAAGCGCTGCAGAACAATGCAACCCGACCAGCAATTCCCCATAAAAGGAGAAAGGGGGTGTGATTAGATTCCCTAGCAAGCAAGTTATTGAAAAAAACAGTTGGGTGGTTTGTTTCTGCAACAGGCTTAGGTTAGGCTACTATTTTCTCTCCTAATTAGTTTGGGGAGGGGGGAAGGCTATATATGGTCTAGGAGGTAGGCTAAATCACCGAAGCCGGAAGCAACTGGGGCAAGGCTCAGGGCTTTATGGAGGTCCAGGTACTGTCCCGCGACATTGGTTATTGATCCTTCACCTTGCTGGGGACCGACAGAACAGAATTTGCGTGCGATGTATCAAGCCCCGGGAAAGGAGATGCAGGAGGGAATATAAGCTTCTAATAAAAGAAACGCAGCAACAATAGCGGAGGAGCAGCTCTGCCTGGTGACGTAATGGCTGGCAGTGGTCCAGCTTCAGCAGAGCTGCTGCTGCTACCTCAGCATCCAACCTCCCTCAACCCGGTCCTGCTTAGGCGGAACTCACCCGGGCTGGGACTCCTCACGATGCCACTTTGTGGGTGCCACAAACGCCTTACTGTAGAGGGCCAGGACACCGGAGAAAAGGCTGTCCCACCGTCTTGAGTTATCGGAGCGCCCACCCTCATTCTCCCACTCCTTTAACCCCCCTCAGGCACCCGCTCCAACAAGCGGCTTAAGTTGAGGGAGGAGAGCCCGGGACTGCCTCCGTTTCCCCAGCCCGCGGCGCACCTCCTTCCCCATACCCTCGTCGCTCCTCGGCGGGAGTTGATCCCGGCGGCCCCGTTCCCCCGCTCGCCGGTCCTCCCGCCTTACCTCCGCCAGGTAGAGGTTGAGCAGACAGAGCGTGGAGAACTGGAGGCAGGAGGGGAAGCAGTAGAGCAGCCAGTGCGGGAAGAAGTGCAGGCGGGCGGGCGGCCGCAGCAGGGGCAGCGAGCCGCTGAGCGAGAAGGCGGCCGAGAAGAGTGTGGTCCTGAGCGCTGCCCACACGAGACACACGAAGAGGCAGAGGCTCTGGTAGCTGAGCCGCCGCTCCCGGTACAGCAGCAGCCGCCACAGCTGCAGGTAGGCGAAGGCGAAGAGCGCGGCGTACAGCAGGGCGTGCAGCACGCTCAGCGCCAGCTGCACCGAGCCGGGCACTGAGGCCACGGCGACGGCGCCCCCGCCCGCTGCGCCCGGCGTCGAGGGTTCGCGGCCAGCGGTGGGGACCGCGGCGGCCGCCGGTCCAGACACCGACGCCCTCATGAGTGCACCCGACGGGCGGCGAGGGAGCGCGGGAAGGAAGCGGCCGGACCGTGGGCCGCCGTCGAGGGGGAGGAGGAGCGGCCCCGGACCCCCCCACCCGCCCCAGCCTTCAGCCCCGCGGAACGCCGCGACAGGACTCGCAGCCCGGCGCGCCCGGGCCGCCGCGGTCCTCGGACCCCGCCTCCTTTCCCCTCCCCCCGGGGGGGCTCGGCTCCTCCTGCTGCGGCTCCGCTCAGTACCAGCAGAAAACAACTCTCGGCTGGAGACAATCAGCTGAGAAACCGGAGCATTTGAGGCGCTCGCTCCGCACCGTGGGCTGCCGCTGATTGGCCCGGGAGGGCACGCCCCCTGAGCGCCGCGCTCGGAAGGCCACGGGCCACAGGATCCGTCACTCTAGGTTTCTGATATCTGATTGGGCAATCTCCTCTCTTCGCTTCCTCCCCCTCGCCTCACGCCCCACCCACTCTGCTGATTGGCCCAGCAACTGCACGGCCGGCTCGCGCCGGCGGGAGGACTTAGTACTCTGTCACCTGGGGCGGCTCTCGCTCCGCCCTTTGAGCGTCCCATTGGTTGGAGACTCTCTTACGTAAGGAGCACGAGGAGAAGGCGGAGCCTCGCGGGTTGTTTTTTTTGCCCAGGAGACGGATTTGGCGGGGGCGGTGCAGGCCGTGGGTGGTGCAGGCCGTGGGCGGCGAGCTTTTTCAGGTAGGCGTCGCCGCTTACTGGCAGCCGGGACCAGCGTCTGTCTTGCCTTCTCGCCTCTTCTCGGTCTCTGGTGGCGGGACCTGGCCGCTGCACGCTGGTCCTGCCCGCAGGTCTGGGGAAGGTGGAAGCGCGTGCGTCTGTGGTTTGTGCCTGCAGGAATGCATGCGCCTCCGAACCCTTCTAGCAAGGCTGCATGTGGCGCTCTGGCTTGTGACTTAGTATACCTGTTTCTGGGGCACCCAAGGGCTTTCATTTTACTTCCTTTTTTTTTTTTTTTTTTTTTTGTGAGCAGGAAGACACGGGAGAAGATTGAATGAGGTGACGCGTGAGCAGAAGCTGTAAGTAATCTAAATAAATGACCCGTCCCATTCTGGGAAAGGTCCCTGAAGGTTTGGGTGATACTAGGAATAGATGGATGTTAAAGCGATCTCTGAGGGGAAGGCAGAATTTGGAAAGATGTTCTGAGCGTAACAGTTTCGGGAGAAAGCAGCAACAGAATTGTCTGATGAGTGTTCAGAGAGGAAGATTTATTTAATAATTCCTCAAATTCCACTTGTTAGCCCTAGTCTTGTACGTAGGCGATGGTGGCGCTATTCATGGCCTGAGACTGAGGCACACTAAGTAAATGCTACGTTCCTGCTTTAAATAAACCAGAAACAACTGTCTATTGGATTAGTGCATGGATTTTTTGGTATTTGGTAATAAAGCGAGCAAAATCGCGCGCGATTAAGAAGGAATCCTGTGTTCTCAGAATGAACAGTTAACCACAAATTTAACATCCTTGTGAAAAATGGCTGTTTACCGGAGCATCCAAGAACCAGCCTTTTCTTTCTACCCCTTTCTTATGCTTTGCCTAAGAAGAGTGTTGATGCTCCCTTTCTTCAGAAGGTGCATGTTGTACAGGGATTTAAAGTCTGTCTAAAAGTTGAGTTTCCAGTACATATAACTTATAGCTAACAGATGTAACCCAATATTAACACTTTGGAGAAAGACCCCTTTTTTATTGGAATGTAAGAACATCACCTTGTTGGGTTCTTTGAGAATGTGCTGGTAGGCCAGTACACAGTTCCTTCAAACGGGACAGATTGCCCTTCAGGGCAGAGAGGTAATTGATTGCAGTTACAGGCTTAAGCACTTAACACATAATGTTAGACTTGTATGATTTTAGGCACTGGTCAAAATCCAGGGTACCAGCTCTTTGGCAGAGCCAATTTTGGGCCTCTAAGACCGTGAATTGTCAGTTACAGTCATGAGTAGTTAGGAGGAGACCTTTCCTTTTTCTTCTGAATTCTCTGTTCAAGATGATGGTGAACAAGATGTGAATAGTATCTACTACACTAACTTTCCATATTTGTGAGACTGTGTGGTATGCCTTATTGTGGATACCCCTCCCTCAGCCAATCTGGATAGCCTCTCCTTTTTTCCTTTTTTTTGGGGGTGGTGGTGGTGGTGGTAAACATGTAATGGTGCAGACAGAAGATTCTCTTTGTAACTGCATTAAAGGACTCTGATGCGATGAGATAGTGACAGCTTTTATTGCCTCCTTTGGGCCTTAAATAGTAAGCTGTGTTGAGATCTAATCAACATTTTATTTGGTGTTGATTCATTGAGCAGGTTCTGTTCTCCAGGAGCAGCTTTAAACTGTAAATAAGCTAATTTTGGACAGAATGTTCTGACAGGAACTTTGTAAGCATTACATACCTCATTTGTTGCAAGATACCAAGTGTCCCTTTTCCCAGAGAAGGGTGCTTACAGATGTTGATGCAATTTATTAGTAGTTACAGTTTCTAACCTTTACTTTCTTGACATGGAAAACAATTTTGTGGGTAATCTAAAGGGAATTCTAGACCCATAAAGGGGGAAATTCAAGGTTCTCTTAGAAAACTTGCTAGCAAATATCCTAAAATTTAAATGCATTCAGTTGCACCAGGATTGAATATTGTTGTTCTAAGAGGGCGGATTAGTACAGTATTTTTTCAGACGTGTAAAAGTAAAATTCTGTACTGTTGTATACAGGACCCAGTCTCCAGATGGGACTGGTCCAGCTGAGGAGGACTGCCCCATATTGTCATCCCTCCCTCTGTCCTGTTACTTCTCTTTACCTTCACCTTAAGGAACACATAAAGTCAATTCCTAATGGTCTTTCTGCACTGCCTGGGGACCAGTGTGTTTCTTTTGAAGTTCTTTCTCCTTTATTTTTCAAAAATATTTTATTTATAATTTTTATTTTATGTGTATAAGTGTATTGCCTGCATGTATATAAGTGTACCCATGTTGTGAAATGCCCATGGAGGTCAGAAGACAGCATCAGAACCACTGAAACTGTAGTTAGGAAAGTTTCTTAGCTGCCATATAAGTGCTGGGATTCGAACCCTGGTCCCCTGCAAGAGCAGCCAGTGCTCTTAATTGCTGAGCCGACTCTCCAGCCCAGTTCTTTCTCTTTTATACTCTTTGTAGATTTCTTAATTTTTTAAGAAATTATTTATTGTTTTTATTTTATGTAATGAGTGTATTGCCTGCATGTATGTGACTGCACCCATGTCGTGCAGTGCCATGGAGGTCAGAAGAGGGCGTCGGATTCCCCTGGAACTGGAGTTAAGGATGGTTTGTAGCCACCACTTGGGTGCTGGGAATCGAACCTGGGGCCTCTCTGTAAGAGCAGTCAGTGCTCTTAAGTGCTGAGCCATCTCTCCAGCCCTGATTTCTTAATATTTTTAATACTAAACATAAACTTTGTTTCAATTTGCGTTTTATTTGCAAGCATTTGCCCTTTTTTGTAGTATAGCCTCATTGACCCTTTCTTGCAGTGCTTGTTAACTTCTTTATTTCTTTTCATCTTTTAAATGACATTTGGGTCATGCTTAGTGTGAATGAGATACAAGTTACAACTTGCAAATTCTGATCAGGGTTTAAAGAAGCATTGCATTGAACTGAAGGAGAGATGCCTTGAATTTGGATTGCCACACAAAACCTGGGCAAGTCAGCTTTTGCCTGCAAGCCCATCACTGGGGAGGCAGAGACAGGAGGATCCCTAGGACTTGCTGGCCAGCTAGTCTAGCAGAATTGGCAAATTCCAGGGTCAATGAGAGATTATTTCTCTGAGAGGTGGCGCATGTCTTTAATCCCAGCACTTGGGAGGCAGAGGCAGACAGATCTCTGTGAGATAGGCCAGCCTGGTCTATATAGTGAGTTCAAGGCCAAGTGAGGCTACAAGGAGACCCTATCTCCAAAAACAAACAAAAATAAAATCTCAAATATGTAAGTATGTAGTATGTTCAAGTCACCAATTGCCCATTACTAAGCCCACCTGTACCAGTAGAACTAGGCTGGATATATATTGTTGTAGCTTCCCACACTTAGGGGTTGAAAGCCAGGATTATTTATGCCCTACACTGGATCACTATAGCTCTGTACATGGTGTTCTTTTCCCAAGGCATGGGCCAACAGGGAAGGCCTCATTTTGAACGTTACCAATCATCATAGCTGAGAGAAAGCTTGTCTTGATTCCTGACTCATAGATATTGACTCTTGTAGGTTTCCAAAAGTTACATGTGTCACTCTTCATTGGCCAAATTAAATCATAGCTATACCCAACTCAAAAGAAGCAGGGAACTGTAATTTTAGTATTATACTTGGCTAGCCTCACCTTCGGCATGCATTATCTGTTCATTGTGCAGTTTATCCTTGACACTTGGTAGAAATAAAAAAATCCCATCCATTTAACTGCATGAAGCTCCAAATCCAGACCCTGCATAATGTACAGAAATGATCACTTCTTTACGTGACTGCATATAAACTATCTGTCTTCCATACCCTATTGGATGCATAGGGAAGTGCAGGGACAGATAGGCATCCCCATTTAGGAAGGGAAAGAATGGGAGACATAACCAGATTCTAGCAATCTGCTCTTGAAATCTCTCTGGGAGGGATTGCTAGGACTGCACTTCTGTTACTTGCATTCTATAGGTCAATTAAAGAAAAACTCCAGTCTAGTTTGATTTTTGGCAAACACAACAACAACAACAACAACAAAAAAACAAGTACTGGAAGACTGAAATAAACATCAAATTACAAACCAAACTTTAAAATTATTAGATTGAAACCAGCTGAGCTTAATGGCAAATGACAGGTTCTAGCACTCAAGAGGCTGAGGCAGGAGGATTGCTACAAGGCTAGCAAAGGACTACATAGTGCGTTCAAAGCCATCCTGGACTACATAATGAAAAATCTGTCTTGAAAACAAAAGACAAACAAAAAGCCCCCATAAAATTATAATTAGATTTAACAGATAACTGTTGCAGGTTGGAGTTCGCACAAAATCACTAACACCATTTCGGTAGAAAGTAGTAAGGTAAAATTTTATTACGGCTGCCAGGCTGTCTATCTCGGGAGTAGAAGCAGCCCCTGAACATTTAACTGTTTAGGGTTTTTATAGGATTACAGAAAGCATAGTTTAAACAGAACATCTGTGAGCCAATCAGGTTTGTATATCATAGCAGAATTTGAATTCACCAATCAACAGCCTGTATTGTGTAGGCAAGTGAGGCAAGTGTACAACTCGGCAATTTAAACGTTAGTCAACTACCTAGCCATAACAAGCATTGTAACAGAAGTCAAAATCAGCAGTTACCAGATGGTCACTGAATAACAGGGTGGTCTCGTACTACATGTCAGGGTGACCTGAAATAGCAAGCAAGTTAGCCAGATGCAGGGTGTCCCAGATCAACATACTTCACAGTTTTGTGTTTAGGTCATTTTCTCAGTACTCAAGGTTGCCCCCCTTCTGGGTAGTCCCCAAAAGTGGAACAGAAGTTACTGTTGAAAATAGCCGCTCTTGGAAAAATGGAGTAACTTGGGTCAGGTTGCTAATACATTTCAATACCAAATTACTTTTTGAAATTGCTGTATAAGCTTCTGAACATCTACACTCAATTTCTATATTTTTACCATAAAAATATAAACTGCTGATCCAGATAGGAGTGACCATGGCCCAGAAACAGACTCAAGTTACCCTGAATGATGTGTTCTACCACGGAAAGGCTTGCATGGATTTTTGAGAAGAGTCAGGGGCTGGCGACATGGCTCAGTGAGTAAAGGTGCTTGCCTCACAAACCTAGTGGCCTGAGTTTGAGTCCCAGAATCCATGTAGAGGCAGAAGGAGAGAAGCAACTGCACAAAGTTGTTCTATGACTTTCACACATGCACCATGGCATTGGTACTCCTGCATATACATCATACATGTACACAAGCAATAATAACATTTAGAAAGAAAGTCATAATGTGTTTATAAAATGATGTAAAGGTAGGGTCATCAGCTAGGTGGACTGTAGTAAGGCAGAGACATCTATAGATTTTAAAGTTGTCTTTATCACATTAGCCTCAGGTAAGATGTTAGGGCAGATACAATGGTGGATAATTAAAAGGGGTTAAAGATAGCTCAAGATAGTTTTGGTTCTTGTCTTACAGCATTCCACTTCACATGATGGAGTCATGATGTTCTAACTCAGCCAAGGTTAGGCTTTGTGCTGCTGGATCTTTAGTACAGATGCAGCTTCAGAGAACCTCAGTACACTTAGTCATTACAGACCAGTAGCAAGTAGTACTCATTCTGTGTGTGCCCTGGCGCCTCATTCTCCATGTCCTTGCTTTTGCCCTGTGAGAGTCCTGCCAGTTTTATTATCTTGGGCATATGTGAAATTAGCTTTGGAGAACATGGCATTTTTTCTGTTTTTGAGGCTGAGCCGTTTGGTCAGCATGCTGCTGCTTTGACTGTGGAATGGTGTATTTTATGTTTATATAGTGCCTGTCTTGGACAGTGCTTCTCAGAATCTCTCTTTAAATATCTTCTTAACTACAACCAACAGCAACTACCATACAGAACTAATCTGTTTTCCAGACTCTTCTGTTAGTGCTGTAAATAAGCTCATTAGCTGTAAGAACATAGGTGGAGGTTCACTATAAATTCATTAGGTACATATCACCTACAGATAATTGTAGTAACAGTTTTACCAGCTGTTTGCCACGTGTCTGTGGGGTCATTCACTGGGATTAGGTCTCTGATAAACCTTTTCTTGAGTGGGCCTAGGCCAGCTTTGAGTGCTGCTTGGTCCCTTATACAGTGTTTTGGAGTTTTTCTTAAGGCAGCTTCTCATTTCTAGCTTGTATACCAATGAACATAGACTGTCTTAGGCTGCAGTAGTAACTCCTTAATCTCGGTGACTTCAAACAGGGTTTATTTATTTAATAAGCTCATTCTCTGTGTTTTGGTCATGCTGACAAAGCTACCATTTTGAGTATTTCTGCTCTGTGCAACAGAAGGAAATAAAGCCTTGTACCACACATTAGCTGTTGAAATTGTTGTGGGAAAGAGACAGTCCTCTTTTCATGTTTTTGGTCATAGTGAAGTCACCTGGTAGACAGAAACAACTTCAGGGGAAGTGGAATGAGGCTGCTTGGGAAACCTGACTTATACCTGTGAAGGGAACTGAGCTGGTGATCTGCCACACCCAGGGAATGAAGTCGAATTTTCCTGTGGTTCCCATCATGTTGTATAGGTGTGTAGATTTTTTAAGCATTGAGTATTGTTTTCTTCTTTCTTTTCTAGTTACTGCAGAAAAAAGCCTCTGAGTATCTCTGTATCTCTGTTTTTACTTTGTGTGTGCTGATAAATCTGTCCCCATCCACCATCTCTGTCTTTTAAGGTCTTTGTGTGAGGAGGGCATGCCTCTGTGGAAATTATTTTATTTTCCATGCATGTGACTTGCCTATTCTTCTGTGGCTGGACAGGGTCACTTGGATTATTAATATGCATAGAAACTCTGGAAGATTTGGTTATATACAGGTAAAAGGTGAAAAATGTGTAAGATATGAAGAGAAAACAGTATAATAACTTAAGATAAAAATGAGAAGGCTTATTTAAAAATATGATTCTAGCTCATGTGGCAGCTCATGCCTGTAATCCCAGTGTTTAGGAGGCTAAGGCAGGAGGATCACCATGGAGTCAGTCTGGGCTATTTAGTGAGACCGTTTGTGAAAAAAAATGAGAAAAGAGGAAAAAATGAAGTTTTTTGGGCTACCAGAGTTTCCTTGATACCCATCCGTGCCTCCAGTTTCTTCTTTAGAGAGACTGACTTCTGATTGGTAATGGTATGTTTTCACATTGACTTCACTATTTCCAGTAAATTTGTCTTTTGGTGTTGTGAAATCTTTCCCCCTTTCTCACTGTATGTGCTTCTTTGCTTTCTGGCTCCTTATGTCAATCAAGGTTACTAGGTTTTAACTCTGTCTGACCCATGCTATGTTTTGTGCTTTAAGTAATTTTTTAACAGTCAAATATTACCAAAGGTGGAACAAACTACAGAGATTATTGCTGAGTTTCTGTCTCTAAAATTACATACTTAATAACTGGTCCCTAGCTGACCAAGGGCACAGTTATTTCACAAATGTAATCTGATTGGTCCAGTTAGAAGCTCTGGGAAAGTTTTCAAATATTGGCTATGTGGTTAGACCTGTGGTACTACAGAGAACATTCTAGGAGGAAGGAATCATGTGTTAACTAATCTGCAATTTAGGTTAAAGAAATTGAATTGTAACATCATCACAAGAAATTTTATATTTTACTACATTTTTTTGATTTATTTTTATTTTATGTGTATGAGTGTTATGCCTGCATGTGTGTAAGTGCACCCATGTTTTGCAATGCCTACAGAAGCATTGGATCCCCTGGAACTGGAGTTATGGATGGTTGTTAGCCACCATGTAGGTTCTGGGATTTGAACCTGAGTCTTCTACAAGAGCAGCCTGTGCTCTTAACTGTCTCCAGCCCCAAATGTTATATTTTATACTTGAATCTTTCAATTGTGCTTTTGTCTAATATTTTACAGTTTAATTATGTTACAGTTATTTTATATAGTAATGAATGCCGTATAGTTATTCCCTTGGCCTCAGAAATATATGCATTTTCTCCAGAATACAAAAAAAAGTAGATGACCTATTTTAAAATATTCCCATTAATGTAAAGTAGCCCTGAAATAGGTTGACTTAAAATGGATAGACTGTATAATAAATTTAAATGCCAAGGATATCCTTTAATTATGTCATTAGAATTGCATTTCTATATACCTCTTGTAGTTTCTGCTGTTCCTTTTACTTTGAGCTTTTGAATATTTGACTCATAACTAAAAATTGATGGCAGATTTGTTCACTGATAGTAACCTGGCCTATCGAACTTCAGAAATATTAAGTAATCAGTGAATAATTATTATCTTCTTTTTAGGAATACCTGCTCACTAGGGAGAAGTGCTTTATTGATAATATTAGATGATTAGGGATTGTGAGTTTGAGGCCAGCCTAGGGTACATACAAGAGCCCTTTCTCAAAAAATTAAACAAAAACAAAAAATAACACCCCCCCCCGCCTCTTCAACAGAATGTAGCTGGCTCAGTGATGTACAGGACTTGATCAGCCCATATGATCTATAGCAGTGCAGAAATACCAAAATACAATGAAATAAAAGTGTTAGCAAATCAGTATTATTATAGTATCATTTCCCTGCAGATTTTTACTAGAAGAAAATAAATTTCTAGCAAAATCAAATAATGTAATGACAACTATTAACTTCATTTACCAAATTCTTCTCACAGTGCTCTGTTGAACCCCACTCTGTGCCAGGTATTGTCCCAGGCAGTAGACACAGCAGTGAGGAAAGCGACACATCTTCTGGAGCTCATTCCAGTCACAGCCCATGATGTCTTCCACCTGTGGTCTGGTTAGAGTTGAGGGCTTGCTGCTTCTGATGTCCATTTTTAGCAAGCTGACTGAAGCCTCTCTGTCAGAGCTGAGTCCCCAGCAATATTTCAGCACGCTGCAACCAGGAAAAGCTTCTTTAGCTTATTTTTGTCAAACTGGTAAGCATTTTTTAAAGAAAATTCTTATATGATTCTGCAATGTTTATATGTTGCCTAGACAGTACATGCAATGGGAACTCTCTTTTGAGGGTAACTGTGTTCTAAAGCCATTTCTCTGATATGCCTGCATGGAGGAGTCTGGAGCCACTTAGCTTCTCTCTGTCCTTCATCATCTATTGTGATGATACAGTAATTGCCCTCTTAAGTTTCTTATGAGGATTAAATAAGTTTACACATATGCTTAGTTCACAGAAACTATTGGTTAAGAGTATGCCATCTCAATTTCATGTAGTCATTTCTGAAACTATACTTTTTTATTCCTTATGTAAATATTTTAGTGGTTTTTTAAAAAAACTGGAAATGTAGTATTAGTGATGCTCTAGTTTAATATTCTACTTTAGCTATATCATTAATTATGCTGTTAACTAGTATGATTATAGAACATAATTGCAGTGATTACATTTAAGTCTTCATGCCATCAGTAGTACAATTTTATCATTGAATCAGTGAAGTACATTCACAGCTCTGTTCATTCCTTTATTACAGTTGTCATCTGGAATTTTAAAATCATTTTGAAAGTTTCATATGTGTTTACATATGCTGCATAGTATTAAGCATGGAAGAATCTTGCCAGATGTTATTTTTTTTATTATGATGCTGTCTTAAAGGTAATTTATAAAGTTAGACTATATTAAGATAATAACACTATAAATAGGAATGAGACAACAGGAAAATAAGTGACTGGGTATGCTTAAGTATTTGTTGTTGAAAGCTACTTGGAAAAATAATTATATTTTGTGTGTTTGCAGATTTTGTTTATTTTAAATATTCATCTTTTTAAATGAGTAAATTCATTAACATTCATTTACCATTTCTTGCTTTAGATTCTCCAAGTAACTCTATATTTCTTGAAGAACTGAAAGAGGCCATTAGACCTCTCCAGGACTATGGGATTTCAGTTGCAAAGGTAGAAAGATACCTATGTTAAAACATATTAGTGACAAACATTTTACAACTGTATGACCTAAGAATGCATATCTTAAAATACTTTAGTTTCATATCTTTTCTCAAACTGGAAAAATGTTTTTTTTTTTTAAACTTCCTCTTTTACACAAGAATAAAGAGAAGCACAGATTATTCACATTATTGTGTAACAGTGCATAGAGAGAAAAGAAGTGGTTTAAAATTCACTAGCCAAGAATTTAACTTTATTTCATAAACTATTCTCTTAGGATGTTTCTAAAGCCCATGGTTAGGTTCTTTTGTCCTGTTTTTTTTTTTTCCTGACAAATATTTCCTAATAGCCACAGTTCAGCTGTTTATTAAATTTCTATTAGCATAAATGGAGGGAACAAAATGAAGGTAATATAAGAATTCTTCTCCCTTTTATTTTTGTCTTTATAACTATACTATAGTTTCTCACATTTATTTTTAATTTTTATTTTATGTGTATTAGTGTTTTGCCTGCATGTATATAAGAATACCATGGGTATGCTGTCCATGGAGGCCAGAAGAGGGTATCGGATGCCCTGGAACTGGAGTTACAGATGGTTGCTGGCCACCACATGGAACTGAACTGAGATCCTCTGCAAGAGCAGCCAGTGCTCTTAACCACTGAGCTGTCTCTTTAGCCCCTCATATTTATTTTTAGAGCAAATGAAAACAACTCGATTTGAAAGTAAATTTCAAAATTATTTTTCTCAAAAATGTTGGGATTTGCCGTGGAATATTATAGAAATTTTCCACATGCATCTTGAATTAGATAACTGTGTAATTCATTTAATTTAATTTAAACTTTTGTTTAATTTAAACTTACAGTTCATACCTCAGTAGCCTAGTGAAAATTTCTTTCAGATGAACACCTTCTGACATTCTGTGTGTATGTGCTCTTCTCTCATTTCAGCTGCCCTCTTCCCAGAGGTTGCTGCTGTCCCTCTTAGTGACTGTAGCTAGACTTCTGGAGGCAGGAAGCATAGAACAGTTCACTAATGTTGGCTATATAAACAAACAAACAAACAAACAAACAAAACAAAAAAACCCCAAATAACCAAAAACCAAACCAAAACGACCCCCCTCAAAATCAAGCCCCTCTTTCTTCATGTGTCAATTCTGTATGTTCAAAGGCCTTAGTTAACTTAGAACAACTTAATCCACTCTAGAATGATAACCGTACTCATCTCCAGAAGCTCTGAATAAAAATTTAAACTAAAATTTAGAAATCATGGGGCTGGAGAGATGATATAATGGTTAAGGGTGCTCTTCAGATGACCTGGTTTAGATTCCCAGCACCCACATGGTAGCTCATAACCACCTGTAACTCCAGTTCCAGGGATTCCAACACCCTCTTCTGATCTCCGTAGGCACCAGGCATGCATGTGGTGCACATATATACATGCAGGCAAGCACTCATATATGCAAAATAAATAAAATTTAGTAATGAAATAATAATTTCATGATATGCAAAGGCATAATTGTGCTGGTTTTCTAGTAACTGGTAGACAAGAGCCTAGAATTGTGTATCTAGTGAGCAGAGCAGAATATAAAAGTCTGTGCCTAGGCTGTTGCCTTTATTAACTGACATAACTTAAAATTTTGATTTTGTGATGGAGAATGCTGAGCTATCTGGAAAGAAGGCAGTGGTGATTCACGGACCCATGTTGAATATTTAGCTCAGTCCTTGTCACATAAAGAATACTAAATATTTATGAGAGTGAAATGAGCTTACTATATTGAGTGTTCTTTGGGCAGAAAGATGACTAAGACCTAGTCCTCTTCTTTGGAAAGACATATTGTAAAAAGAGGGGTAAAACACATTCACAAATCATCCTAATGATTAGAATAGCGTGATCATTGTAGTGAGAGATACACAAAGTACCATAGCAATTGTAAAGAGAGGTCTGTTTCTGACTGCTGATGTGGAAAGTCCCAGTGGTGTTGGAGAAGATGTCAAGAAAAGTAGCTTTTGAGAATGTCTTTAAAAACTAAGATTGACAGAGACAGAAGAGAATGACGAAAATGCTAAAATATAAATGCCTCCTTTTTTTGTGGCCTGCTGAGTTTAATTAGGGTTGCTTGCATAAGTGTGGGTCAAGGTTTGCTTATTGGAGCATGGTATACACCTCAGTGGCCACATCACTGAGGAAAATGGCTCCCTCATCCCCAGCAACTGTTGGTTCCAATTATTCCTCTGGGAGGGTTGGGACTAAAATATAAGTGGCCTAATTGCTCTATCTAAGACACATATTCTCAACTTGGAGACAGTAACCAAATCCAACTCTGTGCTATTTTGAAATGTGTCTAAAGGCTTCAGAAATCTTCCAAGTAAGTGAAAGAGAAAAAAGATGCAAATGATAACCATGAGAAAGCTGATGCAGCTTTATGACTGTATCAAAGCCGACATGAAACAAACAGCCCTTCAGTCATCTTTGGCTTCTTTCTCTCGTAACCAGTCTGGACTGCTAGGTTCTTCCACCAAAACAGCCCAAGTCCTGCTGTTGCTCGTACCTTCACTCCTCCTCTCCATGTCCTCACTTCTCACCTGACACCATAGCTGTGCCTGAGTAATTGGCTTTTTTCCTTTTCCTTTTTTTTTTTCTTTTGGTCTTTTTGAGACAGGGTCTCCCTGTAGCTCCAGCTGTCCTGGAACTCACTATGTAGACCAGGCTGGCCTCGAACTCACAAAGATCCGCCTACCTCTGCCTCTCAAGTGCTGGGATTAAAGGCATGCGCTGCCATGCATTAACTTGTACATTCAATAAATAAAATTTTTTTAAAAAAATAAAGATTTTTCTTTGGGATTTAGCTGTATCCCTAATGATTAAAACAGTAACTAACATAATGGTAAGCATTCAAACTGTGCTGAATGGATGGATCTCTTTTCATAATATTGAGTATTCCTATACTCTGGACTTTTAAATTTCTTCAAAAAATACACTTGAATTCTTTTGGTTATAGTTATACTTTGACTTTTCTCTGTTCCTGATATCTTGCCTGTCAGTTCCCCCTTTTAAATGAATGTCATTTTCCCCAGCTGTTAATTCTGTTTCCTCAAATTCTATGTAAATAAACTAGCCAAAAAACCCCCTCCATTTAAGAAAAAATTTTTTGTGTGTATTTCATACAGAACATCACAATATTTCATCTTTATACCCACATCCCAAATGTCACTCTCCCATAGCCACCCCTCCCCCCACTGGAGCCCATATACTCTGTCATCCCTGTTACCATCCACTGTGTTATCAGTGCCCCCAGCTATTCCCCAGTGCTAGTCCATCCCCTTAGTCTAGTCAGTCTATCTAGAGTTCCTTGTTTTAGGAAGATCAGCTCTACCTCATCTAGCAGCAATCAGTCACCAACATTCCTTTAGATAAGATTGGGGTCTGCTATTCATTTTCCCAGTTCTATGCTGGGTTACTGTCTGGGAGTCTCTTGGGCCACCCTGGCCAACAACTCAAAGGAAGGTATCTCCTGTCTGGCACTGTTTCTTGTTATGTAGCCTTTAGATATACATATGGACTCGTAATTATATTGATCACTTTAATCTTTGGTTATACTTTCCTTTTGGGTGTTTAAGACCATAGCACTTGGCTCAGATAAACCAATTTCATTTTACTCTTAAGGTTGCTTGAGGATCTGTTCCTCAGGGGTCACATGGGCTTGGGAGGAGCCCCTGACCCCTCCCTCCCTCCCATAAAAGGAAGAGTTTATTTAGCTTATGGTTCCAAAGGGTTAAGAGTCCTTCATGGTAGGGAGGCATGGTGGCAGAGGTGGCTGGAGTAGGAGCAGAAGCTAAGCTATTAATCTTTAAGCAGGCACAGGAAATAAGGAAAATCTGGAAATCTGACAAGGCTTAAGAACTGTCTAAGCCACCCCCAGTGATGTGCTTCCTCCAGCACGGCCATGTGGCACCTTCTAAGACCTCTCAAAACAGCATCACCAACTAGGGACAAAATGTTCAAATACTTGGAGCCTGTGGGGGACATTCTCATTCAAACCACCACAGAAGGTAATACAGATGACATAAAGACAAGCACCTCTGAAACGGGGAATGACATTGTTATCCATTAGGAAACTACAGGAAACAACAATAGGCAAGTATAGCAGCCATTGGAATCACTAATATTAAAAATCTGACTATCCCAATTGCTTGCAGAAATCATGGAGCTGAAAGAACTAGGGACATTCTCATTCAAACCACCACAGAAGGTAATGCAGATGACATAAAGACAAGCACCTCTGAAACGGGGAATGACATTGTTATCCATTAGGAAACTACAGGAAACAACAATAGGCAAGTATAGCAGCCATTGGAATCACTAATATTAAAAATCTGACTATCCCAATTGCTTGCAGAAATCATGGAGCTGAAAGAACTTACATGTATTTCTCATGAGAATGGAAGGTTTTGCTGTCATACTGCAAAATAGTCCGGAAATTTTTTTTAAAGTTATTCATACATTTACCAGAGGAGTGGCAAATTCAAAGTAGGTTGGGCTTTTGATCTCATTATGATTAAGCTTAGCAGTTGATGAGGCAGAGGAGACAGTTAATGCTTCATTAGTGGGAACACTTGTACCTTACCAGCAGAATCTGTACCTTTTCTGTTAATCAGTTGCATTCATTTTCTAATATTGACCCAAGGAGAGAATGAAGTGCAGTTTTAGCTGCAGAGCATTAGATGGGATGTGGCTCTATCAGCTCACCTCATTGACATGGCAGCCCATAATGTGACTGTCCCAGAGTCTAACTTACTTAATAAGGCCACGCCAAACATATTCAGTGCACTGAACACTTTGCTGCTGCCAAGGGAATTTTTAAAAAATAAAATAAGATAAAAAAACCTTTATTCACAACAAAAAGACTGTGGTTTTCTGACTCTGTGGTACAAAAACTACCAAGGCCTGAGCATCTCACATATTGTTTTTGTTTTTTAATAAATAAATTATTGAGAATTTCATACGTGCATAT